AGAGCGGGAGAATAATCAGACATCCAAAGAGCCTCTATGATTGATTGCATGTGGGCAGTGGGCGAAGCTAAAGCTGGAAGGCTGCATGGAGGCAGAGGCTGTGATTTCCCCTGCCCCGGTCTCCATGGAGACAAGCATTCACATGTGAGCAGTGGGCAGTGAGCACTGAATGGATGAAGGAGGGAGAGCTGGGAACGGAGGAAGGAGGAAAAGAGAATGAGAAGGAGGAGGATGGGAAGAGGAGGACCGAGGGGACGTCTTCAAAAATGCATGCTTACAGAAACAACACGCATGAATTTCAAAAATGTTTGCATCAAAATAAACTATACCTTAATTTAATCTTTCCACAGCCTTTTTGAAGTCCTCTCTTACATTTTTTGAGACATTCAACATATACTGAATTATACTAGATCAGCTTTGCCCTAAACAAAAAGAACCTTTTTTTTTTCTTTTTTTTGGAGAGATGTTTGCTATAGGGCAAATGCACTCACTGGAGAGACAGAAAGACAGAAAGTGAGAAACCACACCCCAAGGTGGGGATGGCCACGCTGCAATCCTTTCTCCTCCATTCCTCTCTGGAATCTGGGCATGCACACACATGTGCCTGGCATGAGTTTCAAGCCACTGGGTCAGGGACTCAAACCGCAGTCGGCCATGTGGGAGTCTGTACACCAACCACTATACCACTTTCTGGCCCCAAGAAAATCTCTTTTAAAAAATGATCAGATAGACCGCGCTTTGCGTCCCGGACCCGGTGGCTTAAACTCACGCCGGGCACGTGTGCATGCGTGCCCAAGATCCCGAGAGGAGAATGGAGGAGAAGGGATTGCGGTGTGGCCATCCCCCCTGGGGGGTGATTTCTCGCTTTCTATCTCTCTGTCTCTCTCTCTCTCTGTCTGGCGAGCGCACGCGCCCTATAGCAAAAACCTCTAAAAAAAAAAAAAAAGATCAGATAATTGGGCCAAGCAGGTGGTATGATTAAGGTACTGGACTCCCACATGACCCATCGCAGTTTGAGTCCCAGATCTGGCGGCTTGAAAACCACACCAGGTGGGGAACCAGCAGTTAGCGTAATGGCTATGTCACTGGACTCCCACGTAGTCAACCGCGGTTCACATTCCGGACCTGGTGGCTTAAAACTCACGCTGGGCACGTGTGCATGCGTGCCCAAGATCCCGAGAGGAGAATGG